ATATTTTCTCATAGGTTTAGAAAACTACAAATAACAGCATATAGAGGAAGGCATCACGCGAATATGCATGCATGGTGAAGAGTGACAAGCAGATAGAGGGTGGGAGGGGGGAGGGGAGTTCGGTAATAGCAGAGTCGGTTAATAGCTTTGCGTGAGCATAAATTGAGACTACTTAGAAAACCACGTTATGACCCGCGACCTCCATAACTTTGCCCTCGCCTTAGCAACATAGAAGTTCTTATAAGCTATACTTATCTTCTGCTTGTCTGTACTATTCATCATAATCTATTTTTATTAATTCAATGATGTTTGTTAAAGGTATTGTGTAAATATTCCTTTATTGTTGCATGCTTTTACACTTTTTTCCTATTTGAACAAATTAGAAATAATTGTCAACGGTATGGTATTTCAATTTTTATATTATGTATCAATATAAGTGTAATTTTCAATTAATACATATATTAATTTGAGTAAATTAATATAAGTAATATAAGTATATGCATATGCACGCGCACGTTAGAAATTAGTTTAACGGTTGCTTGATCTTACGATATATATTCAAATTAATTAAAATAAAAACTTACGCGTTGCTTATTAACAAAAAATACACCTTAACATATGTGTGATTATTTCAAGAAAATATATACTTTAAAGTCGTTTTTTATTTATTCACATATATATATATATATTCATATATAGATACATCATTATCAAATATTATTATCTAGGCACAACCTAGGACAGTTTATTTTGAATTAAATTGAGTTATATTTTGTAGTCTCTCTCAAATTCTCTATAAATTTTCGTGAAATTTCTTCATTAATATTACTTGAAATTTTCAGATTGCAATATTAAAAGTACTGTGTCACTATATTTATAATTTTAGTTTACTTTAAATATTAAACATAATTCCAAGCACATATAAGGATTAAAAATGATGTAAAAGCATATAGGTCTATAATAAAAGCTGAGAACGTATCTTTTTTATTTGAAGATTTAAGCATCAGGTTATATGTATATACTTTATTAAAATAATTTGTTTATATTTCATTAAATACAATTTCTTAGAAAGAATAGTTTACTTCAAATTCTGTTTTTTTTTCTTTTTTTGATAAATTGCATTACAATAGCAGTTGAAACAAATAAAAATGATTTCTGATACTATTAATAATTGTTTTTGTTATTTTAATTTGATTTATGAATAAGATGAATAATAACCGAATGAATAAATTAAAATAGATATTGGAGTTATGAAGATTTCAAATATAATTGATGCATTTATTGTGTCAGGGATTTTTATATTAAAATATCACTATTCAAATGCCAGTACTTTGAATGGGACAGTTGCATGTGTAGATAATAAAATAATCTTTTATCTATATTCATTTCTGTTCATACTCGTAATGTGCGTAATCATTTGCAAGACACTTATTTATGTGGTAGAAGCATTATATCAATGCGTCAGAAATTTCGATAAAACTTTGGAAATTTAGAGTGCAAGCAAGTGCATATCAGAGAATGACAAAAACAAAAATGAAACATGCCATCTTGTATAATACTTTTTAATAAATGTCTACGACTTTACTTAAGAACTTACGTTAAAAATATTTCATTGGCTTATGTCAATGATATTTTTCGTGAATAAAAATTTCAAAATTTATTTTATATATATATATATATATATAAGGCTTAGATAATCAAATAATAATGAAAAATATTAATTTCAATTAAAAGTTACAAAAATATAGCCGTATTTGAATACTGTTTAATATTATTACTTGAACTTTGTCCTATTAAAAATGTTATCATATTGGTAAATTATGAATATCATATCGTCGTCATGATAATTAAAATTAAATTTTTATTAAAAAAAAAAAAGGTTTTAATTGATTTTTACAGTGAAAATTTTTTATTACAGTTTACAATTCTACATTAGGGATAGAATTGTCCAATTTACGATCTAAAATGCTTCTCTAATATAACTGTATAAATTTATAGGCTTTTGAAAAATTAGATTAATTTTTACACGTAGAAATAAGTAAGCAATTAATTGAAAATTAAGTTTTATAAGTACGTGTATTTAATTAAAATTTTAGAATAATTAATTTTTTTCTTTATTTATTTATTTATTTTTTTTTTTTTTTACTATATTATTAATATTAGTCTGTAAGAGTTTGATATTAATCAAAGCTTTTATGTTGATGCCTTGTATTTGAAACTGAAGGCACTGGTCGAATGGCTTTCTGTTTTGTATTCCTGTCAGATTTTCACCAGCGTTTATTAAATAAATAAGAATATCATCAATTTAATGAAATATTTTTCTCATCAATAAGAATTTGATTGAAAATTGTAAAGAATCCCTTCGTAGTTTCGTATAACTTCAGTATCGTATAATTTCATAAGAACTATAGCTGCTGCTTGTCTAGGCTTTATCAAAATGCTGACCTAAATTGATTGGCTAGATAAGTATTATTATTGCTTATTAATAGCACAGAGTACTGCTTTTATTACTATTTCGATGAACGAAAATGGGCAAAGTATCGTACAGTTTGTAATAGTAAACTAAGTGCCGATTACAATTTAAATTGGCTATAATATCTTCGACGTCCATGACAAATAATACATCCAGCCTACCTATTTCATTTTAAAGAGTAATTTATTTGATTTTCTGAATACAATCTAACGACGATTGATGCTTTCGTTAAATAGACTCTGTTTTAAGAATAAAAATTCATCAATTTAATAACCGACTATTTGTCAATGGAAATTCTTATTAACGGGAATAATAAAGTTTCTCGATTGGCCTGTCCGAAAGCTCATAATTGCCTCTAATTTCTGGCATTACGTGCTGCCAGAATTACCGCAAGACCCAGCAAGTCCTAGCATTTTTTTATATGGTAGACAAAACACAGTATTTGAAACGTGCTAATAAAAGTAAAGGAAGTAGAAGTGTCGAAGATGTACCGCGTGTACCGTATTTATGCATTGTCCAGTAATGATCAGTAGAGTGGCCCAAGGATCTAGGCACGTTATTAAAGTTTTGGTGCATTGATAATGTGGCCAGCTACTTGGATCTCTATTACAGATAGTTTACGAATAGATCTTGATTCGAGATCTCTAAAAAAAAATTCCTACATAATTAATATCGTATAGTTCCTATTGTTGTTATACTTTGAAGGCGTAACAATTTACGAAGCATCGAGTACGCGTTGAATGCAAAATCATATAAAGAAACGCGATAGAGTTGTTGCAAGTGAGCACAATAAATTATATTAGCACGTTAAGTTAATTTGAACTTTTAGAGTATTACGTGAACTGGGTTTCATAACGCGAGGACCTTTTCTGGTAAATCGTAATTCGAGTACTCTTGCCTGAAGTGTAAATACAATGCTTTTAATTATGGCATTGATTATTCATTTAGTTTTAATAGAATGTGAAGAACAGTTAACATTATATAATTTTTACGGACGAATCATTATATATGCTAATACGATTACGCGTGATTAATTTAATAATTTAATTTTGCGCATTAAATGGAATGCTGTCTTTTATTTAATTTTTTATACATATACCGGTTTTTCGGAAAACTCTGACCATTCATATGTCAAAATCGAGACTCAAAACATATTTGCTAATACGAGTGTAATTTATTGAAGCGTTAATCTTAAATTTTCGTGCAAAAAAAAAAATAATACTAGTGTTTTCTTTTACGAATGAAGAAAGCCTGCGTTTCATTCTCATTATTACCCAATGATTATTTTTATTCCCACGCTATATCATAGTTTCACTAATTTCACATAAACCAGTTACTTTCGTATAGAATCATATTAGAGTATATTAAATACATACATGGCGTATTTATTTTGACATACGGTATTTTGCGTACTTTTTAATTATTTATCTGTAATATCTTTTCAAGTACAAATGAAATTATTAAAAAACAGAATATTTAACCATTATTCATCCACATAACATTTTTTTTTCTTTTTTCTTTTTTATTTCCAAATGTTCGTACTTTATTTGTATTTGTTAAATGATGTATAACGCTGTAAATTTTTATAGCTCGACAAATAAATGGTATCTTTGACGAGAATTTGAAACGACGAATTAAAAATCCAGAAAATAAAAGCTTTCAAATTAAGTTTTATTAACCTAAAAAGTATATTTGCGTAAAAATATCTGACACGAGATTTATAATATGAATATTGTTTACTTTTCCATTGTTTATCAAGTCATCGGGAATTTTAACATTGCCGATTAAATTTTATTATTCTTCGTAGCACTTTTCACAACCGTGACTTAAAAATAATTGATATAACTTTACGATATTCCACATTTGACGATGGTAAAAATAATGGTATATCAGGAAATTGTGTATAGCCCGAGACGTTGGGTAATCGGTAATTTGACATCGCCGAGAAAAAGTCCAACATGAAAGTAGTAAATGAATCAGGACGTTTGGTCCGATAAATAAACTTTAAAAATATAACTTTTAGGATCTATATCGTGACGTTTTTATATTCACATCAGACTGCCCATTATGCTGATCCAAAACGCTATTTATGCGTATATATGATAACAGAGAAGAATGAAAAAACTGTGCAATGTATGCTTCGGTCACTGACACGACCCAATGCAACAAGTAACACCGACTCTAACGAATAACTTATCATTTTCACAGTATGTAGCAGAATGTTGTTTACATGTCATCCAATTTCGCACAATCCTATCACCATAAGCCCAAGCACAAATGTACTAATTACCGTTTTCCTTTTGCTTTCAGACGTGAGAGGGAGCGGGAGAGGGAGAGGGAGCGTGAGCGGGAAAGGGAGAGGGAGCGAGACAGGGAACGGGAGCGCGAGAGGGAGCGGGAGAGGGAGAGGGAGCGAGAGCGGGATCGGGAGCGAGAAAGGGAGCGCGAGAGGAGCTTCGAGTCGTCTGTGACGGTGGGCAACTCGAGCGGTCGCTTCGCCCGCTATGAGACGCCCCCGCGCGCCAGGACCTCGAGCTATAGCCGAACACCGGCTGGGGGCAGTACGCCCGGGGCCAGTCCGGCCCACCCGACGGCCATGTCCCGGAGTAGCCGGCGTTCCTACCAGGCGGATCCCTACTACGAGCCGGATTATCCAGAGCCACAGCTCGCGCGCCGTTTCCGCAGCTACGACGAGTTCAGCCAGGGCAGTGGCGCCAGTCACGACGACTACGAGTCGGGGCCGGGCCCCGAAGCCAAGCTCCTCGACGACGACCTGCCGAGCCTCGGGGTCCTGGGCTCCTCGTCGCGGCGCCACGCTCTACCGAGCGCTGTGGTCGTGGACGGGCCAGGTCCGCCCCCGCCGCCCCTGCTCCCGCCCCCGGACATCCGCCACCTTCAGAAAGAGCGGGTGCACCTGCTGGAGCAGCTTGAGGAGTGCCACAGTAGCGGCGATGAGCTTGGCTTCGCCCCCAAGAAGCGCGCTAAGCTCCTCGATGGGGGCTCGATACTCCTCGGAGCCGAGGACGACGAGCCCGAGATCGCCTCCCTCCTCGTCACCTCGCACTCCGGCCGCAAGAGCATGGAGGTCAGGCGGGTCAGCGACAGCAAGCTCGTACTGCACCACGGCTCGAGGAGGGCCAGCTGCGAGGGCAGGGGTTCGCTGCCGTGCAAGCGACGTCGGGACGCCACCAGCAGGTTGGTATCGAGCGCCGAGAGATTCTCTGGCTGCCTTGTAGTCTATAATTGCCGGCGACTTCTAGGGGTGCGACCCCTCAAACCCGAGTTATTATTAGGCTGGATCCTCGTACAAATTCTTTCGCCTCTGACGAATTGTCCGAGACGACGCTGGAATGTGCCGTTGCGTCGTTCATCTTACTCCATCGAGGATGAACTCGCGATTTGCTCCCGATGACAGCAAACCACCATTTAGGTCCACCATTTAGGCGCCGCAACTAACTGTCATTGTTCGCGAGTTCCAGTGTATTGGTTCGGTTTTAGTCGATAGCGGTATCTCCAAAAATCATGCAAATTATTTACAAGCATTTGAATTTGAATTATATAACTCGAGCAGTGGATCAATTGGCTCGGAAAATGCCAAGCGTACGTACTGTAATTACGTTATTTCGTTGGATTTAGCTATAACGGTGAGATATAGGGATCTTTATTCCAAAATATTATTGTATAATTGAAGCAACGGTAGGTAATTTCGTACCTATATTCAATTCAAGAATTCAAGAATTAATAAAAAAATTGCACGTCCTATCTATTATCCAGGGATTAACAAATCGCAGAATACGTGTTTAAAATATCCAACTCTATTTCCCGGTTTTATTATCAAAATTAAACTTACCATTGCAGCTCGATGATATAAATAATTGCTTTAACATAATCATAATTGTAATTTAAGCCTTCCTAATACGAACAATTACCAATGTAGGCGACATAAAAGCGTCATTACGTAATTATCGTTAAATTCGGTATATCCTAAATTGTATAACCGTCATTGGCAATATCATTTATAGTGTAAGTTTTATTCGTTCCACTCGCGCGCACTGTTAATCGTAAATTAATAATTGATAAACTGATGACTATTTTTCAAAATACATTTAACGAGTATTCTACACATCGATCATTCCTTATTTAAAATACGAAGCCTTTGTATATGATACGTTTTTTTTTTAAAAATTTGATAATGAAATACAATTATTTAACGATTATCCAGATAAAGATATTTACTTTGCCGAGTATATATTTTTAGACTGTGATAAACAAATATCACTTTTCAAACGTTTGCATGTTTAGGAAAATAAGAATTACTAGAGGTTCATGAATATAAAACAAATAACAAATTATTTATATCTAATAGAAAAGCAGTTGTTATTCTTTATATAAAATGCAAGTACACGAAGTTATTTACTTAATAAATTTAAATATTCGAATTAAATGGGTTATAATGGAAGGCGACTGTGAAATAAAATCGTCCATAGTACAGTGTAATCTAAGCCCATGTTATCCGAAATTCAATGATTAATGAGATTTCTTTCGTTTATATTGCTTTAATCAAATTCTCCATATTCAGTCGAATTGCATCGCTAAACTGAATGGTCGTGATCTTTGGAATATTTTTGCGAGACCAAGGAAATGCATGAAATACACTAGTCATTTTATTCCGTACACTCATTTTCATTTAGCGTCATCCTCGGAACGTGCGGTGCATTATTGAAATAAAAATGATTTCATATCAAAGTTTTTGAACCACTTACAGTGCCTGGAAATGACCAGCAACATCCCTACTATCGTATGTGCCATATATATTTTCTTGTACATCTGTTGTGAGACGTTCTAATCTTTTTTTAAATAAAAGGAGTCGAATGTGTCAACAGTGTTCCATATTTTTTCTCTTTTCTTTCTTTCTTTCTTTCTTTTTTTTTAACCAGTTTTAGTATTTAACAGCATTATAAAAACATAGCCAGCAAGGTTAATAGTGTAAAGTAGATGACAATTTTTGTCTGCCATGCGCAGCACTACCTACCTCTATTTTTGTCGAAAACGTGATAAATTTCGTCATCCTACCAATATTTATCTTTAATTGAATTTATAAAATACAAATATCAATCAAATCACCGGCTACGTAACGTCAATAATTCCATTTTTTATTTTTTATTCAAATGAAAATTCCAATAAAAACTATATCTTTTTATTTCAAAGAAATATGTAATAATAAAAATTAGATCGGTTTAGTAGTATTTTTATGAAATCGTGTTCATCGTATTTGTTCCATCAGTAGTTATTTAATTTCCTCCCTTCTCATATTCGTATTGCTTAGTAAATTCTATTTACAGATTTATTTATATACTCTTCGTAATGTATAATAAATGTATCCAATAATTGAATATGCGATGAATTATGGTAGCTATTATTTAAATAATAAATACCCAATGTTTGGAAAAATTTTTCTCAATTGTTTTTAAAAACATGGATTGTAACTATCATTTTTTTTTCTTTTTTTTTTTTTTGAATATATTTATCTATTTTTATTCCTTTTTAAAAGTATTCGATTGATAAAATATCGATATATTGATCGATTGATTTTCATCCAATCCTATTTTATGAGTTCCTAAATTCATAATCAGGGATGTATTAGTGTACTTGTTCCTGGCTTTAAAGCGCCAAGTAGATTATTCTAATGATTCATTCTATTTAAGAAGACAAAAAAAAAGAAGTTTTTTGTCGAATGACTTTGTATTGGAACTTCTGGAATATTTTTTTCATTTATTTACTGCTTACAAACGTATAGATAAACATACAGAAAATGATTAATGACACAGCTTGAACACATTTGTTAAATTCACGTTGCTTCAATTCGTTAGTGTACGAACTTTTATGATGTTTATGACCGTCTTTGCCTTTACTTATTTTTCTGCTTATTTATTTATTTATTTACTTTTTGTTTTATCTTGAGTGTTTATGTATATACAGATATACTGACATCTATTTCTATCTAACAGTATAGTAAAGACGAACGAAAAAGAAATTAACGAATGTAGGCAAGCCTGGGTGCAAGTGACTCTATAAAGTGATAATAAGTTTGATAATAATATTATTTTCTTTTTTCAAATTTCCTTATGTCTATTGACACTTTATTAAAGTTATAACTGTAGCTCCGTCCGTTGAAGTACCGCAATTGAAATAACAATAATTTTGTTTAAATCATGCTGTCACCATTGAAACCCATAAAAACTAATTCAATAAACTATCAAAACATTCATTATAGTATTATTAAATATAGTAAAATTAAATTAATTATAGCGTAGTTTCATTGCTTGGCGTACTACTCGGAAAGACGTAAATAGATGTATATCTTTTGATTAGACGATGACAAAATCAACATTCAAATTATATGTTGCTTATTACAACATTGATTAATGCTCAAAGAGTTTCGAGTTTCATTAGGATTTATCTTGCAAATAGCACAATTTTACCAGATATAATAGTCCCCCTCGCTGTAATCGATTTAGATTGACATAAAACCGGCAATCTCGGCTCGAGATAGTCGCATTATTACTTATTCAAAAGGATTAATTAATGATAACATGGCCACGAGAAGTTGACAAAGTTGATTATGGAGCGCCGTAGATTACCGTCTGATAATTGTCCAGGACGATGTTATTTGACTATAAAATCAAAACAGGCCAACTTAGTAATGGTCGCTGAATATTTTCAGGCACCACGAACATCACGATGGCTCTCGACCTGGTACGCCACTCGTCGATGAGCGGCCCGAGAACATCATGCCCAGCGAGCCAAGAAGATTTCGAGAGCGTAGCCAAGACGGGCCCCTCTCATTGCCGCTACCCAGGTTCGCCACCCAGATGCTGAACAACAACGGCGGAGGCAGCGGCTCCGGCGGCGGGAGCGGCTCACGCGGCGGCTCCTGCCTCGCCAGCCTCTCTAAAATTTCCTCGCCGCCCTGCGTGGAACGGCTGCACCCCGCGGCCCCGAGTCCGCGTAGCGTCGCCCAGCCCCCGGCATCGCCGCCCCCGCGGCACCCGAGTCCTAGCCCAACGAGCTCCGACAGTGAGACGGCGCCCCAGTCGCCGAGCCTCGAGGAGCGCATCCGCTCGCTCGACGAAAAATACGAGAAGTGGTCGGGTAGCCGCGCCCTGAGCGCCGCCGGCGGCGACGCCCTCGCCAAGCTCGACGCACAAGCTTCAGAGCGCTTCCGCTTCCGGCATAAGCTCCTCGACCTCGATCTGCACGAGGTCCAGCCGTCGGACATCGTAAAGTCCGTCCTGGCCAAGCGCAGCGTCTTCGATGAGGACTCGAAGCGCCTTGAGAACTTCAATGAGAAGTACGAGCCCAAGGAATTCACGGGGGTGATTGGCGTGGGCTCGGTAATCGGCCAGCCTGGTCCCCCCAAGGCCCCGGGCAGTTGCGCCAGCAAGGTCTGCCTCCAGTACCCCTTTCCTAGTCACCCGCCGGCCGCCGCCTCGGCCCTCGGCGGCAAGCCCGCGGGCCACGGCTGCCTAGTGCATCCGAGCCCGGCGACGCCCGTCACACCCGGGGCCAGTGTCAAAACGGTCAGCCCGGAGCTGCCGCCGGTCTCTCTGCCACTGACCCTACCGGGGGCGCATTCGCTCAGCGCCTCAACGAGCCGCAGCCTGCCGGCCCCAGGGCCACTCCAGGCGACCACGAGCCTGCCGAACCCCGCGGCCATGCCCGGGCACCAGACTACCTCAGCCGCGGGGGCGACGTCATCCGCTGCCGCAGCCGCCAACCCTAACGCGGCCTCGATCGCCGCCTCGGGGGCCGCTGCGTCCATGATAACGGAGTCGACCCCGCGGGCCGCGAGATTAAAGAAGGAGTCGAGCCGGGACTCGAGGGATTCGCGAGACGGTCGAGAGTCCAAACATGGCAAGACAAAGGACTCCTCCTCCTCCTCGTCCATCTCTGCCGTGTCGTCGTCATCGTCGTCATCGTCGTCATCCTCGTCGTTGCGGAAGCTGCGTAAGGAGGAAGAGGTCGCAGCGGAGAAGAGCCGCAGAGAGCGCGACGAGCGGGAGGAGCGAACGACGACGGTAGGCTCGAGCGAGGCCGTCGAAGTCGAGGTCCAGACGAGGGAGGCGCGTGACACCGCTAGACATGATAAAAAGGAACGCGAGGACAGAGAGAGGAGAGAGAGGGAAGAACGGGAGCGTCAGGAGCGCAGGGATAAGGAGGATCGCGACAGGCAGGAGCGCAAGGAGAGGGAGGAGCGAGAAAGGCGCGAAAAGGACGAGGAACGCAGGGAGCGCGAAAGGCTTGAGAAAGAGCGCCAGGAAAAGGAGCGAAAGGAGCGGGAGGAGCGGGAGAAGCGGGAGCGAGAGGAGCTGGAGCAGCGCGAGAAGGATAAGAGAGAGAAGGAGCGGAAGGAGAAGGAAGAGCATGAGAGACGGGAGCGCGAGGAGCGCGAGAGAAAGGAACGGGAGCGCACCGAGAAAGAGAAGCAGGAGAAAGAGCGTTTGCGAAAGGAGCGCGAGGAGCTCGAGAGGCGTGAGAAAGAAGAGCGGGAGAAGCTGGAGCGTGAGAGACGCCGTGAGGAGAAAGAGCGCATTGAGCGCGAACGGAAGCGCGAGAGGGACGAGAGAGAGAGACTGGAGCGGGAAAGGAGAAAGGAGAAGGAGGAACGAGAGCGCCAGGAGAAAGAGAGGCGGGAGAAGGAAGAGAAGGAGCGTGCCGAGAAAGAGAAGCACGAGCGGGAGAAGAGGCGAGAGCGGGAAGAGCTCGAAAGGCGAGAAAAGGAGAAGACCGACCGGGAGAAGCGCAAGGACAAAGAGGACAAGGATAAGGAAAAGGATCGCGAGCGTGATAAGGAGAGGGATAGAGATAAGGACAAAGAGAAGGAGAAAGATAAGGATAAGGACAAGGATAAAGATAAGGATAAGGATAAGGAGAAGAGGGAGCGCGACGAGGGCAGGCGAGGACCATCGGACAATCCGCTTCATCCGGCGAACGCTCAGGTTACGGCCGTTCCGGCTTCGATAACGAATAAGCGGCGCTGCTCATCGCAGGATATCCCAGCCGACGAGGATACGAAGGAGGCCAAGCGCATGAAAATCTCGTCGGAGCATCGCAGAGACAGCAAAGACAAGTCGAAGCAGAATCGGCGCTCCGAGGATCGCAAGCATCGCGAAATACACAGGACAAGTCGCGACAGTAGGGACAGTCGCGAGAGCAAGGACTCGGTCTCGACTCAGGACAGCAGGGACAGTAGAGACAGCAGAGACAGTCGAGATAGCAGGGACAGCAGAGACAGCCGTGACAGTCGAGACTCACAGTCGCACGGGGAAGCGCTCCGGGAGTCGAGCAGAGAGGGCAAGGAGAATAACAAGGAGCAGCCGTCCGGCAAGGACAAGCAGAGAAGTAAAAAGAGTCGGTCGGAGAGGTCGTTGGAAAAGGAGCCGCGCGAGCGTAGTCCCAGGGTCTCCCTACAAGAACCGGAGAAGGACTTTTTATCGAGGCTCGACTTGGCTAAGAGGAAAGAGGCCACTCCACCCAATGAACAATCATCCATTGCCTCGCATCATCCGAAAGAGGTGCAGCAACTACAGCAGCTGCAGTTGCAGATGCAACAGCAACAACAACAACAACAGCAACAACATGCTAGTCTAAATCTTCATAGCGATGTAGACGAGGGCGCACTCTCAATGCATGAAATGCAGAGAATGCGAAATCCTTCGGCAACGGATACTGACAGTGATGAACCAAAGAAGCATTCGATCTTCGATATCGTCGATGACGAGCCTGCTTACATCAGTATGTACGACAAGGTCAAGGCCAGGTCAACAAAGAATATGCAAAAATTGGAGGAAGAAAAACGACAGGTAAATATCAATTATTTTGCGATCGTTAACTTTACCAATCACTAAACGCTTTTGATAACGTAAAATAAAAAGGAACCAATAACCCTCCTCCTTCTCAAATATAATCGAAGTTTATTACGAGTGCTAAGTAGATAACGGCGCAACCCGCCTACTTTTCGCCAAGATTTTTGAAATGTTTTTCTCGCGAACCTAAAATCCTAATTGTATTGGAAATAAGTTTTTTTTTTTTTTTTTTTTTTTTTTTTTTTAATGCACGTAGTAATGCATCGTCATAATATGTGAAAAATTTCTCCAACTAAGAAAAAACGTTTGTTACCATATTGTTGCAGGTGAGGCTAAAAGATAAGTTCTCGCAGCTAAAGCAAAGCAGAGCGAGGCGAGAGGAAAAGAAACAGAGCACTTCGTGGGACGGGGACTCGGTAAGTAGCAAAGCTCTCACCGAGGATGAGGCGACTTCGGAGTCAGACTCTGCAAGGGCCAAATCGCTATCACGCAAGGGCTCAAGGTCTCGAATACACTCCGATACAAGCGAAGAAGACGAGGCTTTCAATAACAAACTTGATAAAATTAAGAACGAACGCTTCTTGGAGAGTGACGTGGATCTTGGCTTCGCCGACACCGAGGACAAACACCACCCTCACGACTCCTCGGTCATCAACACCAATGTCATAGTCAACAATGTGCGTATCAAGGATGAGCCAAGGACGTCCGATGATGAGGAGAGAATATCAATGGCTTTCCACACAAGTCACCCGATCTTACCCAATAATCATGAGCGAGATTCTCGTAAAAAGTCTCACAAGAAGAAACAGAAGCGTCAGAAGAATTCCATGAGCGAAGTGAGTGTGAAGCTCGAAAGCTGTGATAACCTTGAGTATAAGAACAATAGTAAAGCGAATACGTGTTCGGTCGTAAATTCGAATCACGTCGATGAGGACTCACCTGACGTGGCGGCAAACGTCAATCCATCCTTGGGTACGACGACTCTCAGCGATAACGAGGAACGCGTACGTCAGGAAAAGAAGGCTGCGAGAAACAAGAAGGACAAGCGCCGCGACAGGAACGCTGAGAACAAAGTGAAGGCGCGAAGAAAAAGGCTGAATCGGCAGGAGGCTCGCGACAATCAGCGTATGGAGGACATCTTTGGGCCGTTATCGGACGACGTCGACGAGCCCACGGGCAACAACTACTTCAACAGACTGAGCGGGTCCCCCCAGGAGAATCACGCGAGCTATCACTCGGACAGCGATGCGCCACGAAGTCCCGTTCTCGATCACGAGCGCGCGCGCAGAAAAGACAAGAAGCGCAGACATCAGCCACAGGACGAAAACAGCGTTGACCTGGCCGAGGCCGGTCGAGAGATCGAGGCCAAGCTCCTCGGCCTTCCGGGCTCGCCCAAGTTCCCCGCCACCTGCAGCGAGATGAACGAGCAAGATGTTTTCCGCTTTACCGACGACAACGACAGTGTCGAGCCCTCGGTGCCGAGCGCTGCTCCGGAAAAATCGAAGGAGAAGAAGAAGAAACGCAAGAAGTCGAAGGAAGAGCGAGCACGCAAAGACTGTCACCATCATCACCATCATCATCACCATCATCACGAGAAGCCGAGCGGCGGCCTACCCTACTTGGGCTCGGACACGACGCCCCCCAGGGCCAGCAGTCCGTTGGTCGCGGCCAAGCCGACGTCACCGGCGCTGCCGACCTCGAGGGAGGGCATGCTCAGTCCAATCCCGAAAATAAGCACCGTCGCGACCAACATACCAACGTGCACCACCACTTCGGTTTCAGCATCCGCGTCAGCGTCGGTCTCCGCATCGGCATCGGTATCGGCGTCGGCATCGGCATCGGCATCGGCGTCGGAGTCCGAGTCCGTGGTCGACGTCGAGTCGGGCAAGTCCGAGAAAAAGAAGGACACGCTCATACCGGGCTTTGGTATTGATATCGACGAGAGCATACACGAGAACGCGGTGAAGAGCATATCGGAGCCCGACGAGCGCGACACGAGCCTGCAGTCGATGAGCAGCCGTAACGAGCAGGACGTACCCGAGTCGCGTACGCCTCCTCCGCAAAGTGAGGACAAGCCCCGTGTTGTCATATCGCAAGAGGAGACCGAGGACGCGGTCGCGGCCCTCCTCGAGGAAACGTTCGGCGAGGCCGAGGACTATTCATATGAGGGCGAGGAGGAGGAGGAGGAGGAGGAGGAGGAGTAGGAGGAGGAGGAGGAGACCGCAGCGGACAAGGAGGAGGAGGAGGATGAGACCGAAGCCGAGAGTAGCACCGTAGCGAGGCAGGAGACGCCGCACGAGGACGTGGAGGAGACGCAGCAGGCGGTCGAGAGCCTCAATGCCTCCACGACCGAAGCCGAGGTCGACCTGAAGCCCGACACGCCTCAGAGCGAGCACGACCTCCAGATCGACACCGACACTGAGGAGGACCCCAACTACGAGAGCTTCGAACTCGGGCAGCCACCCAAGACTCCGGATATGCCCTCTTCCTTCTACAAATCGCCAGCTAAAAGTCCCGTCTCATCTATCGTGGCGCCGACGAGCAGCGTCGTGCGACCGCAGGAGGCTCCTACGGTGCCGACGTCGCTGGCCTCGCTTGCCAAACCCCAAAGCCCGGCGAGTTCCGTGATCGCCCATTCCTGGGGTTCCAGTGAGCCGAAGGCGCGCGAGCTTGGGAAGACACCGGAGACCGAGGCCGTCGAGCCGAGCGCCTGTGCAACCGAACCCGACAGCTGCACCACGCGACTGCGTCACTCCTCCGGCTCGCCCCAGCCCCAACCGAAGCAGCTTTGTGCCGAGACGCCCAAGATTGCGAGGCCGGCGCCTCTTCCCGTCTCGCAGCCGCTCTACCAGAGGCTCCCTGTTTCACCACAAAGCCAGATGTTGCCCATGCGTCAACTCTCGCCGAGGACGCAAAACGTCGGTCCGAGCTCCAACGTTCCGAGCGCCTCGGGGCTCCCGTCTTTGACGCCCACGTCCCGACTGCAGCAGCCTCTCTCACCCAACGGTCAGTGGAGTCGTAACCCGACGGTTCACGGAGTTAAATCTTCCGCCTCCCCGAGTCCCAGCCTCGCCCCAAGCCTCGCGCCGATCATCGGTCCCAGCGCCAACGCCAACGCCAACACCAATACCAGTACCAACACAAACATCAACGCCAATGCCAATGCCAATGCCAACGCTAACTCCAATATCAACGTCAACATCGGCATCAACGCCAACACTAACGTCAACTCCAGCGCCAACACCAACGCCAATGCCAACGCCAATGCCAACGCCAACCCCAACCCCAACCCCAACACCAACACAAACCTAAACGCCGTCCACACAAACCCTAACCCCAATTCAAACTCCAACATTACGTCCACCCCTAACCCAAGTCCGGGCTCCGGCCCCAACCACAGTCCCAGTTCGAGCTCCAGTTCCATTCCCAATCTCAGTCTCAGCTCTAGCTCCAACTCGAACGTCAGAATACCCGTGAGCGTGCCCATCTCGGCCCATCGGCCCGAATCCCAGCTTCAACACATATACTCGACCGCGGCTAGCCAGCAGCCGGTAATCCAGCACGCGCCGGGTATGCGGGCCGTCGCGCCTAACTATCCTAGGAGCGGACTCCCACCACTCACCCTCAGCATACCCCCGAGGCCGTACCTGCCGAGTGTGCCGGCCTTGACACCCGGTACTCAGCCAAAGCTTTCGCGAGAACCCGGTCTACCCAGCAAGTCAGTCATCGAGACGCTAATAGCCGCAAACGCGAGTGAGCCCTCCCCGAGGATGGATGACCCGAAGCTCTCGGCCGCCGTAATCCCGGAGCCTAGCAGCAAGGCCTCCACCTCGCCGAAGGTACCTTCACCCAATCAGCCGCCCACGCACATCCCGGAAACGGCCAAAATCGAGATTAGACCGAGCAACGAGGTGAGCGCTCTCTCGCCCCGGCAGCAGAAGCAGTTTCCACTGCCGCTTGGGCCCGACGGTGCCCTCCTCTCCCCCAGGCAGAAGCAAGAGCTCTCGAGCTGCCAGCTACTTGGGACGCACTTGCCCCGCTCCTCGACGCCCAGCCCCGTCATCGTCGCCCACGGTCAGTCCCACTTGGTGCATCCCTCGGTCCTTCATCCCCTGCCAACGTCCGGTCAGTCGATCGTGAAGAACCTTGCACCCGTGCCGACGCAGCGAGTCTCCCCGTCGGTGGATGCCGTAGTCGAGAAGGGCACCGTGGCGGCACCCATCAAGCCCCACTTGCCCGTCGTCGCGACCATTTCGCAGACCATCATATCGAGGGTGACCTCGGCGGCCGCGGCTAACGCCCCGGCGACACCGATTGGGGAGCATCGGGACTCGGTCGCCTCCGATGTCGAGCGCCATTACATTCCGGAACAACAGCGCAAAGCCAAGGACGACCAACCCACCGTTCACCTAGTACCTCTCGCCAAAGCGTCCCAAGCCCTCAGCATCTCCGTGAAAAAGGAGGAGCTCTCCGACATCAAACCCGTTGCACTAACCAAGAGCGAGAGCATTTTAATGGAGCATACGAAGCTCGACTTGGTCGCGGAGGTGAAGATCGAGAAGCTTGACATCCGCGATGCATCCGAGTGCGGCCCGATCAAGATCCACCTGGAAAAGTCAAAGGATGGAACGACCCTCGAGTACAAGCGGACCGAGTCGATTGAACTGTCCAATCGCCACAACAAAATCAAGACCGAGATAGAGACGAAGGACGAGGAGGAGCCGGATGAGGAAGAGGATGAGGAGGACGTCGAGGAGGAGGACGACGATGAAGAAGGGGACGGCGAAGCGGACGAGGAGCCAACGGAGGACCCGCTAAAGGAGACCTGCGTCGATCCTCTCGCCCTCGATGTGGTTCGCGAAGGCGCCACCGACAGCAAGGAGGACAGTGATTACTGGTCAGCCAAGGAGGTTAACATAGAAAGCGTCATCAAGAAGGTGGACGCCCTCTGCGATGGAGAAACCAATGATATTGACGAGGACGAGCACGTGCAGGAAGAAGGTGCGGAGTCGCAGGAGATGTGCAAGAGCGATGGAGATTCATGGTTCGAGTGCGAGTCGATTGAGGATGATAACAAGAAGAGCTACGCGAACGTGGACGATCAAGACGAGGGTGTCGAGAGCTGCGAGAGCGAATTCACTAGGTCCCGTCGTGGACGATCGAAAGCCAAGAGAGCCGTTGGCAATCGCGGAGGTGTAACCACGCGACGCGGAGGCAGAAGTGCCGCAGCTGCTATTACACCGGCCCCGGTTGTGCCACAGAAACGTGGAGGTCGGGCAGGCCGAGGTGGGAAACAGCACGCGGAGAAAAATAAACTGCCTGCCGATGTCTACGAGTTCCATGACGACAGCGAGGAGGATAACGCGGGCCGGCCGAGGCTCATACTCACGATCAAGTCTCCCGGCCCGAATGCCCAACCCGCCACTCCAGTAGCCGCGGTCAAGGAAGTTCCACCTGAGGAGTTCGTCTCGCCGGCCCTCAATACTCGCAAGTCCCGGAGACTGGCCGAGAAGGACGGCAGCAGATCGACCGTCGATGACGTCATCGAGGACGTTGTACGAGGCGCGGTTAATAAGAACGGGGCGAACGCGATCGGTATCACACGGAGAAGCACGAGGCAGAACAGCGCACCACGTAACGCGGCCGGCCAACAACTGGTCCCACCGATCGCGGAAACTAGAAAATCTCCGAGGAGTACGAGAAGAAATACGAGGCGAACCTCCGAAAGTACCGACGAAGTCACCGATGAAAAGATCAAGGAGCCAGCGACTCCGCAAGCACAGCCACAACCACATTCGCAGCAGCAACAACAGCAACAGCAACAACAACAACAACCGCAACCGCAGCAACAGCAACAACAACAACCGCAGCAGCAGCTTCTACAACAACAACAAAAGCAACAGCAACAACAACATCAACAACAGAAACAACAGCAGCAGCAACAACAACATAATACACAGCCTCAACCGCAGACACAATCACAACCATCGGATTCTGTATCGCTCATTTCATCCACGACACAAATTAAGGATGAAACTCCAGCTTCCGTTGTGCAACGTTCCAAAGCTGATGAGACCAAGCAGATTGCAATTTCAACCAGTATTTCGCAAAAGTCCGCTTCCCTTGAGCCTATGGCTCTGATCGATCCGGTCACGGGAATGCTCATACCAATGAGAGAGTCTGAGGAAGGACAATACATTCCTGTCTCCACGGCTTCCGGACAAGTGATTCAAAGTACGATAAGAACGTGCACAGAAGCAAGAACGACCACAATGAGCAACAACGGTCAATCCGAGATCATTAGGTCGACGATCCATGAAGCTACCACGACCGAAACACCGAACCTCGATGCGCAGATCGAAGCACTTTCCTGCAAACCCGCTCCAGTAACCGTCGTTACATCGACCATAGTCCAGCAACCTCAGATGAGCGTCATTGCCAAATCCCAGTCACCGGTTATTCAATCTCCAGCGAGTGCAGCTGCGCAGCCGGTCAACGTCCCGGTGTCAGTCGCTACGACAATACCATCCACAACGACTCCAACATCCATTGCTGTCGTCTCGACTCCAATCCCATCAATTTGCGTACTACCCAGCACCAAACCAACAAGCCTCAAAGCGCACGTTCTCAATGCTAGTAAATTGGCCAATCAAGCGCAGCATCCGATCTTTGTAACGAAAGCGACTGTGTCGAACGTGCCGAGTCAGACGGTCGTGCAAAATATTGTTAAGCAAGCGGGACAGGCTGTCCAAGGATTGCATTTGCACATTCCGACTGGAAGAGTCGTATCACCGAGCTTAAGTCCTCACACCAAGACCGTCCAGCCGCAGACAGCTGTCATTAATTCAATCAATGGAAAACAGGGTCAGCCGATGTCTCCGGTTCTTAATAATACCGGGGTTCCTCCGAATCCAAAGCAACACCTACTTCAAGCTGCAAAACAACAGCAGCAGCAACAGCAACAACAACAGCAGCAACAGCAACAACATCAGCAGCTGCAACAGCAACAGCAGCAACAGCAAATTGCACAAACGACTACTATCGTGAATTTACAACAAAAAATACCCGTTAATGTCCATCCTGGGCCAATAACACCAACTACTAGTCAACGAATTCACACAGCTCCTCAGTCGACAGCATTGAAGGGAATAAATGGCCAAACGCATCCGATAAATCCAAAGGCACATCTATTGCAAGCCGTTGCGCCATCAATTGTTGCTGGTACGGTTAGTCCATCGAGCCAGTCGCACATAATTGCCTCACAGCCAACCGTAACCGGAGTACCCGGAACAAGAACAACCACGCCAAAAGCATCGGTAAATAAATAACAACAATTTTTCAACTTTTTTCGATACCTCGGCTACTCCCTTGCCAACCCCTAATTTCAATTAATAAGACACACAAGGTCTTTTTCTAATGATACCTGTAATTATTATGCGTAGGCAACTGGAGCTATCGAAGCACCAAAGGTGGAAGTTTCCATGTCTGGCTGCATTATGGTACCAGCGCCAAGTCCGCAAAGCAGAGTCGTGCCCATTTCAGCTTACGAGGCCTCATTGGTAAGCTACGCTTTTGCCGTCATTGAGAATGCCGTGAGCGACACACATGCAATTATAACCATTATCAGCCCATCGTCCATTCACTTTCGGCAACCAAATTTTTAATTTTTATTTATCGAACAAACTAACTCTGCCATCACCCCCCGCCCCCTAGTCCGTGGATACCCCCTTCCCTACTACTACTACCACTACTACTACCACTACCACTACCACTACCACTACCACTACCAATACTAGCTATTGCTACTACTCATAACATTCAAAATACTAACTTTGTACTTTTTCGGTTAGCATGGAAGTGCTGGTTCCGCTCCATCTCCAGGGGGACAATACGGACTTGTTCCCCCGCATCGCTCGCAGAGCCCTCCGCTACCTCCACCCGCTCATCATCACGCCAACGCTCCTCAGGTATTTGCTTTTCCACTCATCACGCCAACGATCGTTTCCTTTTCTTATAAGCCAACCCCACTTTATAAAAGGTCACTGAGTAACCATCCAAATTCACCGGATTAATTCTGGCTGTTTTTATGTTTTAGAGCGACGTCGTCAATCATTACGGAGGTCTCTCGCGAGCCGGGGAAATACCAGCGCATTATATGCATCCCCAAGTATTACAGTACCAGTATCTGAGAGCCCAGCAGGAGGCGCTTACGGCACCTCGGCTTCCGTACCACGTGCCGGGGACGAGATCGCCTCATCTGCCACTCGAGCCGAAGCTCGAGGCCGTCGTCGAGGACACGCACAGTCCACCGCTGGAGCTGCGCCGCGGACGACGCACGCCCCAGGACCGCGTCACCGACAGTCCCCAGGTTGCCCAGGTCTACATGATGCACGGAGCCAGTCGGCTCGCGGCCCCACCGCAGTACAACGCCGCGGGTCCCGTTCAGCGCAGCTACTATGAGCCACCGCCAGCGCACCTTCGCTCTCAGTATCCGATGACCGCGAGCGAGGCACCGCCGGAGCGCGCCCTCACCCCGGACCGACCGAGGAAACAGCTAGTGAGCACAACCCCACCACAGGCGGACTCGCTCCTCATGCTACTACAGCGCTATCCGGTCATGTGGCAGGGCCTCCTCGCCCTCAAGAACGACCAAGCGGCCGTGCAGATGCACTTTGTCTTTGGTAATCCGAACGTCGCCAGGGACAGTTTGCCATGCAACAGCGACGGCTCCACGCCACCATTGAGAATCGCCCAGAGGATGAGGCTCGAGCCGACTCAGGTCGAGGGTGTCGCCAGAAAAATGCAGGTACGCTCTCGCCTCCCGTATCTCTCCGGTCCCTCCGCCCTATTCTTCCCCCCTCCCCCGCCATCCGTAATTAAACGCTACCCAACCCTAATCATCCCAATCAATCCCATTAATCAAATGCCGAAGCAGCGAATAAAGCCCGAGTCACTATTGCAGACCGACAACGAGCACTGCATGCTTCTGGCCCTTCCTTGCGGCCGCGACCACATGGACGTCTTACAGCAAAGCAAGAATCTCCAAACGGGCTTCATCACTTACCTACAACAGAAGCAAGCCGCGGGCATAGTCAACATAGCGGCGCCCGGCTCTCAGCAGGTTAGTACTCGGCGATAGTCCCCTGTTCGTATGGGGATAAGAAGCCTCGCGGCCATGGGCCCACGGCCATTGTGACACGTTCGCTCCTTTCTGTTGCAGCCCTCCTTCGTCGTGCACATATTTCCATCGTGCGACTTTGCCAACGAGAGCTTGGCCCGCATCGCCCCCGACCTATTACACAGAGTCGCGGAAATCGCCCACCTGCTCATCGTCATCGCCACTGTTTGAAAGCGGTTGGAGCTGTCGGGTTTGAGGATTAATTTGCTGGCGAGCGGGACAGCGCCCCCGGTCCCCGTCGCCTGAGCTCCCCCAACGCGGGCCAGAGGCGGCAGTTGGGCATTGCCAAGCCTCGTCCCGCAGCTGGCACGAGTGACAATCAACGATGCGTTTTAAGAAACGAAGGCTAGAGACGCGCGCCCATGTCGGAGGTCTTGAGTGGGCGGAGGGGGCTGCGATCGCAGCGAAAGGGTTAGCGAAAGTAACGCTTCGCGTGCCCTTTCTCCCGACTTCCTGCTCGAAACGCAAGGTCGATCGCTGACAGTGTTTGTGGGAGTGACCGACGTCACTCTTGGTCCCTCCGACAAGCGGGTCAGACGCAGCTCACCCCTCCGAAACAAACACGCCTGTCCGCGTTATTACACTTATATGGTATCAAATTAACCACATTGTGTATATTCTGTAAGTATAATGAAATCGTACCGAGATGAACGTAAATGTGGATACCACGTGACCGGAGGTATCGTCGATAGAGTTAACGAAAGAGCCTGGACATACCCGTTAAGAATATTCGTTCGACGAGATGAATTAACGTAACTACATTTTCCCTGTCCCTGTACACGAGCTAGCGCGTAAATTTTAGACGTTAGAGGATAATAATAAAAAAAAAAGAATGAAAAAAGAAGACACTTTATAAATTTAAGAGCCAGCGAAGGCATAACTACTGTGATTTTAATTATTTAACGATATATATCTGCATAAAGGGGGAAAAAACATAAGGATCGACGTTGTTACTTGCGATCTCAGCGCGCGTTATGTGATGTATAATATTGTATAATATTGATCTATATAAATACCTATGTATTATATTACTGTAAAACAATAGTTGCTGCTGCCGCTGACGTTGACGACGATGCCGCCGCTCCGAGTTTAGAATAAAATTTATCGAACGGTAATATGCGAATTTAAAAAATGAATAGGTTGCGTATTGCTTCTGGGGAAAGAAGATTAAGATTTAAGTAAATACTAGAAACTAAAACCTAAGTAGCGTTAATCCCTAGTGTATTATAAATTCCCAATAGAAGGATGTAACATATTACGGTTTAAAACGAATGAAAAGTACCACCTATCCGTGTACACAAACGAACACATACACACACAAGCACGCGCTCGCGCGCGAGCACACAGTCACCTATGCACACAAACATATATATATATATATATATATATATATATATATATACATATATATGTAGTATGTATGTACGTACGTATATATATTATTAAAAATTTATATTAGTTGTTCTTATTTTTTATTTTTATTATTCATTATGTTTCTTCATTATTATTATTATTATTATTATTATTATTATTATTATTATTATTATATTTTAACATGATTATTGCTATATCATTATTAATCTTCATAATTGCTAAAATTATTGATTCGTTAATAATTATGCTACGCTATTTCTATCTACTACTATTACTACTACCACCTCTACCCCATTACTGTTGCTACTACACTATTACAATCACTACCACTACTACTGCTACTACTACTGCTGTTACTACTACTACTACTACTACTACTACTGCTGTTACTACTACTACTACTACTACATACACTATTATCATTATTATTGCTATTACTAAATTTAAAAAAAAAAAACCATCTACTACCATTATCATTACCACTACTTTCATTATAATTATTAATTAATCCAAACGGTATCATCAGTCCAGCTATCACTCTTACCGCCACTGCTACTACCACTCCTACTATTCAACTACTTATTATCACTACTACTATCAATAAGGACTATAAACTATTACCGCTGTTATCGATTTAATTATTAAAGAAAAAGGACAAGGAAATGGCGTTATTATACAAGCTAGTTAAAACGTACTGATCTGCTCGTTACAAACAATTAAAGCGAAACTTCAAGGGGCACTCAAACCAATGTCATACTTTTGCGGTATGATCGATCTCATTGACCATTGACTTTTCGTAGCCCCTGACACATAAACGGTAAAACAATACACACATCCATACAAAGTAAATATACACTTCCATCCTGTCGTAAGCTTTATTGAGAAATATATATATATATATATATATATATATGTATATGTATATATGTATATGTATATATGTATATGTTTATATGTATATGTATATATGTATATGTATATATGTATATGAATGTGTGTGCGTGTGCGTGTATATATATATATATATATATATATAAGTATGTATGTATGTATGTATGTATGCATACATATTTATGTGTGTATGTATGTACGCGCGCCCGTATCATCATACCTATCGAAATTCGTCGTCGTCTCGTCGTTAGTATGAGTCTCGTTAGAATATAATGACTCTGAGTTAATAGTGCGCTTACATGTATGAAAGACGAGAAAACTCATATTTGTATCGCATAGGCGCGTCTGTGCATCCGAAAGAAGTATCAGCCTCCCGAAGAGACGATGATCGATTGAAAGATCTGCGAGTCATGTTTACATGGAATGCTAACGAATATCGATGATTTACAAATAATAAATGAAATAAATGGAAAAGGAAAGAAAACGAAAAAAATATGTTATAGCGAGTAACGATAAGTTGCAATGTGCTTGGGGATGGACAGAAGATCGGAAGCTATTCTTATCGTTTGCCCAGCAACGTCTTACGGCTTCGTCAGTCTTCGTTTCCTTTTTTTTTTTTTACAATTACCCTATCATCTTTCTCTCTATTCTTCATAACTCTTTCGTTCTTTTATTTTTTTACTAGGCTGTGATTCGAATATACGAAGATTATCGAATATTTAAACTCTATCCCTATATATATATATATATATATATATATATATATACGTAATGCCAGGTCGTCTGGGCGAATTGAAGAAAATCTTCCGGGAGCAAAGACAAACCGAGGCCTATGGATATAAGCCTCCGCTCAGGAACAAAAGTAGTAGTTTTCTTTGTACCATATAATCTTCTTTTTTACAATTAATTTTACCGAGCGACGATCGCGTAGCTACTGTCTCCCCCCCCCCCCCCCTCTATCTCTATCTCTATATCTATATCTATATCTATATCTATCTCTCTGTCCATCCTCCAACGAGAACAACCGAGCTACGAGACATTTATACTGCAGCGTCGAGACATATTCGTCGAGCACGTGCGTGTTACAGTGTACAATTTTTGTTCCCACCCGGGACGAGCTCGCTTACGCACGAGATCCCTTCCTCTCCAATCCTCCAGTGTCCCAACATCCTGGCTGATGATTGAGACATCACCATCATCACCCCCTCCTCCCCCGACCCACCTCGTCATCGACTTTGTTGGATTGGGCATCGGATGCCAAAGCAGCCTCATCTCCCTCATTCCAGGCACCTTCCTTTCTCCGGTCTCTCGACGCACTCCGAACATCAAGATGGTTATTACCGCTATAACTGTCGTCGTGGTCGAGGCCGGGCGTTCTTTCCTTCCCTCCAGGACTGTGCGTACTCGCTCGCGCAATGTCACAGGCGGGCGCGCGCGCGGGAGTCCCGGCCTTTAGTGGAGCGTGAGCGTATGCGCGCGGGAACGGACAGACGGACGGACGTACGGACGAACGGGCGGGAGTCGCGAGGGCGTAATCGCATCGCGTCCGTCGTCATCTGGTTCGTAAATGTTGCGTTGTGCATATGTACAGTGTAGAGGTATCGAGGAAAGAGAAGCTGAAAATGAATGAACGACGAATGAATGCGAAAAAGAAAAATGATAACGTGTGCATACGAGAGCATATTATATTATATTTACGAATTAAGTGTGTTTGCGCGTTCGTGTGTGTACACACTTCTATATATATATATATATATATATATGCATATATATATATATATATATATATATATGCATGTCCGCATATATTTGCATGTGTAAATGCGTATGCTTATGCATATAGCTAGCTCTGTGTGTGTGTGTGTGTGTGTGTGTGCGTGTGTGCGTGCGCGCGCGCACCTGAGATTGCGAGTTCGGAGCGAGAGCGTGGCACCGACACTGCGCACGAGGCTTTGCGTCTCAAGCACACTCGGCCGTTTTATTTCTTTTCGACGGAAGTGTATATTTAGTTAAGCGATACATATCTCTTATTTTTGTAATTCTTTGCGTCTCGAGCGATCGTTTTGAATGCACGTGCACGTGAAATAATGAAGCGAGAGGAAAGAGAAGCGGAAGGCAGTGCGCGTGTGCCCGTTGCGGCTCATCTATCTTGTAATATATCTGTGAATATTATGATTTAGTTTCTTCCTATATTAGGCTAATGGTATACAAAAGTTTATGTTAATTGCATAAGAAGAATGTACAGATATCACTTTTTGTTTTGTGTTTTACTGTAGCTATTGATAATTATATGGATATTAATGATAATAATAACTATGATTAAAAAAAAAAAAAAAAAAAAAAATACTGCGTTTGTATTTTGTTTGTTGTATCCCTGTTCGTCTCTCGGCGATGCCGTCAAAACGCAAACTGCATTGCCCAAATGCAAAAAATTCTTTTGTTGGCCTTGGTGCGAGGTGATTGGAACGTTGCGTGACAAGGAGTGCAATGAAGGGGGCAATGGATTAACAGTCGATTACGACAAAGGACAAACGCTTGAGATATTGGCAATTAGAGACGGCCCTGGTCCGTCTAATTCTCGCGACGCATATCGAGCTAAAGTTGTTTATAATATGTACTATAGCTAAATTGATAGGCATTTTGATTTATTAGAATTATCATAAAGGATTCCGTTAAAAATGCCATTGAGATAAACGGATGTTGATAAATAAGGACGGGTCATGCAACCGATGCTTGTCACATAGTCTCAGCTAGTACTTTTCAATGATATTACAAAAATAAAATTTCGCGATAAAGGACGCCGAAAAAGTACGTTAACGCTATTGTCGAGCTTCCCCTACAATATTCTTGACCATTCGACTATCATTGCCTGTACGTCTCGCGAAGCTTTATTTCTTTCGGATTCTGCACATATATATATTGTTTTTTTTTTTTTTTTCATTCTCGAGTGCTTCCGAAATTATCATCTCTTTTCAAAGAGTAAAATGCAAACTAACAAAAGACTAAAACGTGTTTAAATATGCTTTCGAAAGAAGTATCCTTTATCATCTTAAATTTAGTCGAAAAAATTTTAATTATTTTTTGGCTCCGTTAATTTGCCAAACGGGAATGGAGGTGTAAAGTTAATAAAAGTTTGTTAAAGTGACGGGGAATCATAGACTGATTTTTACTCTCGTTTCATCCTCCTTAAAAGTCATTCGTTTCCGTGTCTATATGAAATTCTTATGAAAGTAACCATGGAGTTTTCTCCATTGGAAAGCATCTCGTTAAGGGGGAAGCGATAACGCGTCAATGGAACATTTTTATGGACGAGTGATAATTTGCGAGCATACGATAGAAGAACAAAAGAAAACACGCATTAACCGTTGGTAGATTGGAAAATATAAAAGAGAAAGTGAGGGCGGAAAAGGGGAGAAGTTTGCGAGAATAAGGAATGAAAATTGGCGAGGGTGATTGAGCGAGCGTGTTGCAGATAGCCGACGAAGAAAGTAGCATTTTTGACAAGTAATGAATACCGTATTGATAAGGCTAGGGCATAAGGTGTAACACAAAAAAAAAAGAGAGAGAAATGAGAAAATTAGGAATCTTTTGAAGATAGTCTTTATCAGGTTAAGGTATTCAATGGAGCAGAAAGGGGAAAGTCGCATGAATAATAGAGTAACAATAGAGGAACGGTAATGATGTAGAGTAATGATGAGAGAGAGAGAGAGAGAGAGAGAGAGAGAGAGATATCCTAGATAATTAATCGATTAGGACGTGGGGAACCACTGTGATTGAGAGTCGAGTTACAAGCCGTGCATGTAGAGTGCGCTATGTCGAATTGTCGATAATGAATAGACGAGTAAAACGGATGACCGATGCGTGGGTGAGAACACGAGCCTCGATATCCCAAGTATCTGCGGGGAAGTAACCGCAGCCGTGGCGTGATTCGAGTGTCTTGGTGAAAGCAGCGTAAGCCGAACTGCCAATCCAATACATCTCTGTCGTTTAAATCTCTGAACGAGTAAATCTTCCTGACTATTGAGCTGGAGGAGTGAGTCGGCGACAGAGTAGCTTCACTGCTCGGGACTCGGTGCTCCTTCTGGACGCAGCTGTTTATTATAGATGCAGCTGGTCCTCGGTATTTGGTCGAAACCGTTTGATTTATAGTCGAAACTCTAATAGAAGATGATAGAATGGCTCGTCTCAGGCGGAGGTGGAGAAGTCACCGATCTCGGAAGGAGAAAGCAGACGCAGAACAGAGGGTGCATCGTTAAAGCTATTTTTCCACTATTTACCAGCGTTTCAATAACTTTTACCCCGTTAAGGCCTCATCAGCTTCTCACCAGCTTATCACCAGCTTATCACTAAGCTTCTTCTAGTCACTCTTACGATAAACGATACGATTATCCAATCGCCCAATCTACCTTTAATTAAACAATTCAAGGCAAATTCGCAATATTTGTTTAAAGCTTCGGAACCACTTATCGACGTTTAAAAATCATCGCCCCTCCCCCTCAATTTCAAATCCAACGCCATTAGCTTCTTCTCCTTCCCATGCAATAAATATAAGAATATAAAGCACTCGATCGGCGCACTGCCTAGAACAATATTCAATCTTCCGTCGTTTTCCAATCTTAATCTCCGGCTCTTCAAGTATTTTAATCTTCCGTGGCCAATTGTAAATATTACCAGTTAATGTATTGCTGAGACTGGGATAATTGCTCGGTGTTATAGGAAAAATTATACTTACGACTCGATTGGCTGTAGTTGGGAGGAAAGTGGTGCGAGTGAGGGGAATAAATGCTAATTCATACATCGGATGCTGTGGGACCTATGATACTATTTTCCGAGGTAAGATATATGATTGGAGATATTTTAGTGGCCAGCATTGATGAAAGCGAAATTCCAGCCTCGCCAGGATCGCAGTTTAACGAACGGCAGTGCCAGCGAGTATAAAAAATTTGTTAAAAATAAAGGAATTGCCGTGTGGTTAGGAACGTAAGACTCGTGCTCTTTAAAGATTTCGAGTTGAGAATTACTTTTACGACGCGTTCAAAAATTCATCGTCATTATTGAGGAAATTAATTCTCTGCTCGTTTCGAGGATATTCTAAAGAAATTCTTTTCGCAATGATGAGTAGGCGGACAAGTTGGAAAAAATCGAGGAAATACCGATGACCAGAGAGTACGAGATAAGAACAAACAATCCGTATTAAACACAAATTTTTTATTTATTTATTTTTTTGTTAACATAAACTTTGTAAAATTTAATATCTTATATATAAGACTTCCGATGTGGCTAACTTATTAACGTGCTGTTCTAAGGCGGATGTCCTGGAAATGAGCCTAAACAGAAATATATAAATATGCCCATGTACATTTGGTCATAAGACTTTCCTATAAAATTGAATAACCGTTCACTGGTTATGATACACGATACCGTAGGCCATTAATTATTATCCCGACAATTAATAAATAATGGAGTCTAGAAGTAGGAAACACCGGCTCATAAAAGCTTTATTGAGAAGTTTATTGGCTCGATCTGGCACGAGCACAAACTATGGTGTAATATATCAATAATAAACCTTTTCTTCCATTACTCTCTTCGTTCATTTTCCTCTCTCTCTCTCTCTCTCTCTCTCTCTCTCTCTCTCTATCTCTCTCTCTCATTCAAATCTTAAGCAACGGCCTAACGTCAAAAGTAGGAGTATTATTAATGCGTTAACTTTCAAACAACATAAAATGAAATTCAAACATCATGCCATTTAAAATAAAATCATAAATTATTCGATTATCCGTATATTATTAATTTTAAGTTTCCTTCATTTTCCTTAATCGTATCGTCGTACAAATATTACTATATATATATGTATATATATATAGTATATATATGTATATATATATATATATTACTATGTATATATATATATATATATATATATATATTTTTTTCATTCATTATTTTTTAATTATTTTTTAAAGTTTTATCTATCATTATTTTACAAATCTGAGATTATTGATAGTTTGAGTACAATATTAATAGCGTAATAGCATAAACAAGTCGATTATATTAATTAGAAGTTCTCTTTCAAAATTTGTTCAATTCGTATACACGATTGGCATAATTTCAATTATAAATTAATCGCTTTCGCGCAGCCAGTGAGAATATACTAAAAAAAGCACTAAACAATCAAACAACAATGTTCTCCTATAAGATGAGAATTTATATTTATTCATTAGAATCTCATTTACGGAGCATTCACATTACCTGTCACAATCGACGAGCGCGGAATGTTAATCAACATATTATGTTTCTTATGAATTCGTAATTATTTACGCGATTGTTAAAACAAAAAACAAAAAAATAACAAAAAAGAGAAAGCATGAAAGAAAACTCGCGTTCCAATGCTCAAATCAAAGTCCGCATTATGATAATTTTCCATTTTCAAAACTAATGATGAGAATCTGTTAATAATGCGAGTGACCGGCAGAGTCTTAAATTTCTATTGGCAGCACTGTTCACTAGACAAGCAGTTGGATCGAGTCCTGCCAGGGCGCGCTGATCGATGCGTTCCTGTTACTTTCATCATGACGGTGAGTTAAAAGCACGAAAATTATTCCGAAAATTCTTCCAACATCATACGAATCGCAACAACGATTTTCTCGATAATCATGCGAGTAGATAAAGAAATATTTTTTCCAAATTCGGGTCTTATTAGTTTCAATACGTTAATGCGAATTTTCAATATTTTTTCTTGTGACAAATTCTCACTTTACACGCTGCTTATTTTCATTCCGCCTACATTGTGATTTTCCTAACCTTTCGAATAATCTTTTGGTTTGAAGCTCTTTTCTAATTATGATTTTGCAATTATCAATCGGACGTCTTTCGCTTTCTAGGACGCAAAGAAAGATCTTGCCACGGCATCGGTTAAAAAGACGAAGAAGGAACCTAAGGATGCGTCAAAGAATGTTATGCGAGAAGTGAGGATAAGAAAATTGTGTTTGAATATCTGTGTCGGTGAATCTGGTGACAGACTTACGCGTGCTGCGAAGGTAATTTATATTTAATTTATTCTCACACACTTTGTCTATTACAATCTATTATGTTTGTATAATGTTATTAATATTTAATGTAGGTTTTGGAACAGTTAACCAGCCAGCAACCAGTATTTTCCAAAGCTCGATACACTGTGCGTTCCTTTGGTATTCGGCGTAATGAAAAGATCGCCGTGCACTGTACAGTTCGTGGAGTGAAAGCTGAAGAAATTTTGGAAAAGGGCTTAAAAGTAAGATTAGCAGTTTTTATCTAGCCAATTATCGATACTTTCTTCTCGCCGCTCTACGTTACAAATCAATTTTAGTTCCATATGATATAATTATAATATAATATTGAATAATTTTTCATTATCAGGAGAATAATAATGATAATTCATGTATCGTTACAACGCAAGTATTTTGTTGGCGCATTGTAGATATTATCTATTGAAATTTGACTTTAAGACAAAAAAATTTAAAATTTCTATGTAATAATAGTTAATATAATTTGCGTTTCGAGTCATGGAATAGTGATTCAATCGATTAAAAAATATCTTACATGTTAGGTAAAATGTTTATTCGTTTTTAAATATTGTTAATTATATTCCCAAATTTTAAGTACGTTTATACTCTGATAACTCTTGACTTTAAATTTACAATCGAGCAAAATTTCTATTCTATATATATGCCGGCCATCTACTACCATTTACATCATTGTTTTTCTCCTTTTCTAATAGGTACGTGAATACGAATTACGTAAAGAGAATTTTTCTGGCACCGGCAATTTTGGTTTCGGTATTCAAGAACACATTGATTTGGGTATTAAATATGACCCAAGCATCGGTATCTACGGATTAGACTTCTATGTTGTTCTTGGACGTCCAGGTAAAGAATTAATATTACCCTTATTTTTAATTTGCACATTATCTGGTATCATAGATGTTGTTGCTACAAGCAAGATCTATAATTCTTATTGAATATGTGCTAAAGAATGTGCTTTCTATTTGCAACCCATGCCCACTTCATTTACTGGGTGTGTTACTTAACGAAAGCAACATTTATATATAATATTAAAAAATATAAAGTGAAAAGGGAAAGGCTGATAAAACTTATGTCTTATCGCGATTGTTTTGACCTTTTGTTTTTTTTTGCATTATTGAATTGTTGCTAAGCTGCTGAATTTCTTGATTGAATTTACACGTTCTACAAAAGACTTTTCGACCTTAAAATTTAAGCAATGAAAAATTTCTAACAATAATTTCTAGTATTGACGAAATAAAGTATTTGTAGCAAAATAACTTATAATTTATATAAATTTTTGTAAATATGTAATTATTATATATATTATAATATATATTAAAAGTATATTATTTTCTATCTTTAACATAATGTAGTCGAGGCCACTATTATATCAATTAATATTATTAAAGGAAATTTATCGTTATAAGTGAGATTATATAAATCTTTTGCATTCCAGGATTCAATGTAGCACACAGAAGGAGGAAAACTGGTAAAGTCGGTTTCCAGCATCGACTTACGAAGGAAGATGCCATGAAATGGTTCCAACAGAAATATGATGGTATAATTCTAGCTGGTAAAAAGTAATTTACACGTTTTTATGTATTTTACTAAGAAATTTATGTTAATAAAAAACAAGACGAAAATACAAAGTTTGTAAGTGCTTTTATTTAGAGACTAGTTTTTTTACAGGATTTTAAAGGATTGTTGTTTCTTAGTAATAAATCTGCATTATAGTTATGCGATACTTTTTATTATACCCATTTAATATGATTAAGCATTAATCTTAGGACATCCAAGTGAAACATGTGCTTATAGATTGTTTATAAATTTTTGTGACATTCTTGTTTGTCTTGATATCGCATCCAAAAAAAAGAAAATCTTTTTTTTTTTATTTTTTTTTATTTATGAATAGCCTAAAATATAAAGGCGCTAAAGCCTCTTAGAAATTTGCATGGGATTTTGAGCCCATTTAAATCACATTGCATTCTCAACTTGAATGTACATTCGAGTCGATAAGGCAGGAACTCTCGCATTAGAGGGATACATTTAAAGTAATTTCTATTTTACGTCGCAATGTTTGAAAAAGTCATTAAGAATTTCACGTATACCTTTATCACGAAAACGTTTATAATTTAACTAACTATTGTACAAAAGATGAAATTAAGACTTGTCGAGTATCGTATGTAATAATTTGCATAATTTAAAAGATTTCCAAATGAGGTTGCCTATTAAATGAAAATATTTTTGATTGGTAATAAATTGGTTTTTAATGAATTCCAAGGGCAAGATATTACCATCAGTCTCGTTATTTATTTCATCTGAACACGATAACAGCAGGTTTACATATACAATTCATGTAAGCCTAAAGAGTTTTAGCGGACGATTTTGCTTTCTATATTCAGGGATTCGATCAATTTTTATGAGATTGATAACGATAAATCATTCGACCAAATATACGTAAATAAATATCGTTTTTTTGCAAGAAAGAACGGTCAATATATTATATGCATTAAAATTTATAAATTTAAATTTATAAATGTAGCGTCGTTACATGGTATTTGTTGTTTTACATAAATGAACAATTGCTTAAATGTACCCGACTATCGAGTAATTATACGCATACATTTCATTTAAATAAATATAATGTCTAACGGTTACAATAATTGGTAATGAATCCCAGAATTCTAGATAATGTTTTAAAAATTATCTAAATGCAGAAAAAAAAGCCAAATTTTGGCAGTACAATATAAGTATTGGTAAAACAGCTTTCAGTGTTTACAGTGTGATCGATCACCTTTGGTAACGGTTAAATACCATGAATTTAATCATTTAAATTCACTATACTACATTCATCACACGTGTATGCAATGAAATTAAAAATTACTAATAAATTATAAAAATATGTATACATTATTACATATATCTTGTTTCTACATTTTATAATAAAAAGTTCATGGTACTTAACTTTATAAGAAACATCTACTTAAAATAAATGGAAACAAATAGAATTTTGTTTCTCGTTTGTCGAAAACGAAAAATGAAAGGAAAAGAAATTCATAGGAATTTACAATTTTTTTGCAAAACAAAGCATCAGATGTAGTAGTTAACGTTTTAATAATCATGCTCTAAAAAGAAATTTTTTTTTTGTTTTTTTTTTTTTTTAAATAATTTTTTTTACTTTCTGACTGAACCATAAATCCTGTCGATATTCAGCTTTTCTATGCTTGTATAATCCAAAATACTCTCAATAACGTTTAAATGTACATGAAGATTTTCTTTGTCCGTGAGGAAATAATAAATAGCTGACTTGAGGAACTGCAGTTTAATTTCCGGATCTAAAGCTCCATTGGTATTTTTCGATTCCACGATACGTCTGTACATTACCTGTATAAGACAATGCCGATTTTAGTCGATCGTAATCAATACAATCGATTACACGTAGTGCATTATTAGAACGTGTGAAATACATTGTTTAAACAGCATAGCGTATATTAAATAAAAATTATCTCTGCCGAAGCTTAGCATTACCAAGGTCCATTGATTGATAAATTAGGAGGCTGTTTCTTCAAAACGTGCTCAATGTTGAAATAATACTTTGCTGATGGTCTATTTATAAAAAAAATGTTAGTGTAATTGAAAACATACGTGTAGTGGGCATTAAGAATTAGGCATGCAATTTTCTTATCAAATACTCTACAGCTTTTTTTCTCAAATTTGGAGATAAGTGAGAAACTACGGACTCGTGTAAAGTGCAGCATCGAGCGAAACAACGAGAATAAATAAAAAGTGTAATGACACACGAACGCCACAATAATTACAAAAATACAATAACTCTATATATAGTAGCGGCTTTGAAAAGTAACATTGACATTTATAGATAGGATAGAGTGTGAGCGACTGGGGGGGGGGGGTTGTGAAGGGAAGAAATAATCAAATTAATTTTGTATAAAAATAAAAGGACAAGCTAAGGTGAAATGCAACATGAATATACGAAACACCAAAATTAAAAGAAAAAAAAATCTGAAAGTCGCGTGGCAGCAAGGAATACAATACCTTACGCGTGCCAAGGACCCAGAGAGAAACAGCCTCGTGTACGCTTAATAAACTTTGGCTACGATTGGCCAAAGTAAGAGGTTCAGGCGAGTAGCTTGATCGAATTCGAGTATCCTGGAATGGCTGGATTATGTGAGCAGCGGCCAAGAAAACAGTGGAATAATGTTAGTACACATTGTCGTGTTAATTATTGGTACGAGAACATTGAACGGTGAAAGAACGAGAGAGAGATAAAAGGTGAACGTGAGAGGTGCTATTATTAAAATAATAGTAACAATGGTTTAGCTTTCTGATAGTGGCTCGGAGATTTGTCGTAATACAGTGAAGTTTCAATCGATATTTTGTGCTTTAACTACGCGAACTCTCGATCCAACTAGCGTAAACTTTCAAAACTAGCACAAGATACGAGGCTCTTTAAAAATTTGAGTGGAGATATTGGTGGGAGCGAAGGAGGCGGACCGGGGGGGGGCAGGTATACGCACATATATATATATATATATATATATATATATATATAATATCAACAAAATAATAAAACAAAAAAACCCGTTAATTATGGATGTAGATGCATTGCCTTCCTACCTTAATATTCTCCAATTCGGCTTTCGTCACGGCTAATTGCTGAAGTAGCTCGGCCACGGTAACTTGCCCCGGGTTCATTTGCGCCGGCTCGTGAAGCTACGTGAAATAATACGATAGAACGTGTGTAAGCGAGTCGGGACACAGCGAAGAAAAAGAATTGCACTTGAGGAGGGAAATGAGGAGAGACAACCTACCTGATCGGCGGATTGCTCGATTCTAGCCGCCTCCTGACCTTTGGAATACATTTTCAGGTACATCTGTTTATTTTGCTCCTCCTGATCAGCCAGTAGCGCTCTCTGTTCATCGACTTGAGCGCGCAAAGCCTCAAGCTCTGCCTCCAATTCCTTGGTTCGGGCCTCCGCTGCATCTAAGGACGGGCGAGCCTGGCAATAGCGCATGCTCACTTCGGACAATTGATTCAGAAGGCTTTCCACCTGCGAAAGTCATTAATTACGTCATTCGTTGGTCGAGGAGCCGGCGGATTGTAGTCCGACGAGCTTGGGCATTACATCCCGGTCGGATTCTTATTACCATGGCGACTCGAGAACCTGTAGTACGATGTCGTTAAAAAGGGCAGCCGAGCTGAGCCAAGCCTTACCTTGTCATTGTGGCTCTGCTTGAGCAGCTGCGTCTCGTCGACGTGTCTCCTATGCATCTCCTCGATCCTGCGCTCGTAGTGATCGACGAGCCTCTTGGTCTCGTGGTCGTGCAAGCTGGCATCCCTAACCGACGACACCGATAGCAGATCAATGCTCTCGTCGTGGACGATGCTGAGACTGCCAGCCGCCGTCGAGGCGTAACTCTCGTTGGCGACACTGGCGGGATCGGTGGCGACCGTCGTCGACTCCTTCGAGTGCATCGAGCCATCCTCGAAGTGGCCCGAGTCGACGAGTGAGGATTCCTTTTTGTCGGGCGTGCGCGAACTCGTGATCGGGCTCGTCCTCGGGCTCGTCCTCGGGCTCGTCCTCAGGCTCGTCCTCGGACTCGTCGTCGGGCTCGTAACGAACGAGTCGTCGAGGAGAAGCTCCCCCCGGGACGGTGAATCGGGCGAGAAGGGTTTCATCTCGCGGATGGTGGCTGCCTCGCTGCTGTCGGTCTTCTCATCCGGGCTGTTGAGCGAGGCCTTGTACAGGCGCAGCTCGACCACCTCCTTCGTCAAATGAACGATCTCCCGGTCCTTCTCCTCGATCTCCATCCTCGCCCTCTTCAGCATCGCCTGCAACGACGGATCAATATCGTTTAACTGGGCTTGCTCTATACGAGTGCCTCGCGTCCTTCATCACCCGACAACCACTCGGACGTACGTGGTTGCCACTCTCACCTGGAGCTCGCGCACTTGTCTGGTGGCCCTTTGCGTGGGCGTGAGGTACTCGTCGTTGCTGCTGGCATGGGTGGCGCAGTGGAAAACGTAACGCCGTGACCGCCCGGACCAAGTGGTGCCATTGCGGGCGAAACTCGCGTGGTCGCAGGCGCTCGCCGTGCTGTAGTTGCTCCCGTAGCTCTTGAGACTTTCGGCATCGCTGCAGTCTTCGTTGCATTCGCCGTGGCCGACACCCGCCCGCGGGTGCGTTCGCCGCCTCGACGGCGTCAGCGACAAACTCTACACAGTTAAGAGAACCGGGAGCTTATTAGTCGCCCTGGGGAGGCTTGCGCGATTAGGGTAGGGCTAGACGACTGTCCCGACCACGTGGATCGCGCTTTCTCGCAAAATCGCCAAAGTTGCACGAGCTACTGTTGTCCAAGCGCTTTTCTCACGACATTCACGTAGCTTTTAAACGAAACTTTTCCCGAAAAACCGCTTGACATTGGTATCGCAATGGCTGCATTTCTTTTTAATTTTTTTCTACACAAGGTCGATCAATTACTTTCGCGTCGTTCGGTCCGTACGGGTTTAACGGACTTTTTTTTGTTTTTGTTTTTGTTTTGTTTTCTTTTTTATTATTTTTTTTTTACTAATTCGTGCTTTATGAATTTTTACGATAACGACTTTCCGTGGGGACTGGATATTGAAAAGAAAAGAAAAATATAAAATAAATATGTATATATATATATATATATATATATATAAATCGAGAGGACATTGTTTAATAATAAGTTGCCACTCAATTAAGGATACTCTATCTTTACTTGCGGTTCGTCGAAGCTCTTAGTTTTCCGACATGATTTTTAGTTTTTCTTTTTAATTAAAAATGGAACAATACTTTATTCCCTTTAAACCGTTACTTTAAAAAGCTTGCCTCTATAATGAAAACCCGCTAATCTTTTCTTTCGCAAAACAATCCCATTACGGAAAATAAAAAAATTGTCGCTCCTGTATTTAGGAAATTTATCAAAGTTTAAAACTACATCGATCGATTAAATTACAACAATGGTTTATACAGAGTTCGGTGCCATACTTGTCGTTCCTGTCTTTACGGACATTGATTTTCTTCCAACTACGCAAGTATTGCGTTGTATTTAAAAGTATTTTGATCACAAGAACATTTTACATACCGATGACGTTCGTACTTTTTAAACTCTCTCTCTCTCTCTCTCTCTCTGTCTCTTTCTCTTTCACAACAAGATTCTAAAGTATCGAGCGTGCCCTTGGCACTGAGGACCCGGCATCCCTTCCATACCGAATCGAGTAGTAAAGTAATCGTCAGAAATTACCTTGGTAATTTCATATAGTAAACGCCTCTTGGCTGTCACGCATACATGTCCTTTCGATCGATAATAATGCACCTTACGGCACTCAATGAGACAATGAAAGTACAACGAGGCAAACCGAGTGGGGAGCGTACGTGCGCACGTGCGGGGAGAAATTCGTATGTATTAAAATATAAGAAAAAAGTAAGGGAAAATCTGATGAAAATTATCGATTCGAATGCGGCAGTGGAGTACGCAACCAACATTTTACTCATGACTTAATAAACAAACGTCTACCTCTCTTACAACGGCAAATCCTTCGATAATGCAATTCTATCCAGACGAATCGATTTTACCTAGGACACCAAACGTGTCCTTTGTTGGTAAAATAACGCGACATAACGCGGGAAACGTATGCATCAGCCGGTATCCCGTTCTTTCCTCAACACAATGACACTTAAATTCAAGCTAAGGTGGTGCTGTACTTGACACGGCTCACTCTATGCATCGACGGAGGAAAGACTGAGAGTCCTCCATCACTATCGCTCGAACAATCTCTTCGAGGGCGCCGAGCGGATTGGCGAGGGCCTACCAAGTGGCCACATTGTGCTTCCCAAGTGGCAGATGGACAAATCTCTCGAAACAAGCTCTTTTCATTGTCGACCTGGACACAACTCCCCCCCCCCCCCCCCCCCCCTCGTTCCAATTTACCGGAGCGACAATGGCAATAAGCCGCGGAAGGTAAAGTTGTAGGTCATCGGTACGCGTCGGATATATTATAGTGACGTAGGTCCGTGAAAACGAGCCACTGTGCCGACGTGGTTACGAGGAATAGTTTATAGGCTCGGTAAATGATAACGACCAACTCGAAGACGAGTGCACCACGGGGGAGATCCCCGGGTCTTAAACGAACCAACGACGGTTGTCGTGCGACGTTTACCGAAGGACAGCTGCGCACGTTCCTGTTGTCGATCGGATCCATGCGAGGGTCAGCCGCCGAGGCCGGTCCGGGCGCTCTTCGCCCACTGGGTCCATGCAGACTGCGCCAGCCCGAGAGTCCGCTCTCGGCTGAGGCGAGCTGACTGAGCCAGCGCGCCGGCGCGAGTCCTACTTCCTGCAGGCCGGCCCGCGCCAAACTGGAGCAGTGCCAGCCGCGGTTCCCGACCTCTGACCTTGACTATCACGGATCGCTGCGTGCGCTCGCGGAAGGAAGTGGCTCCAGCCTAGGCTCCGGTTCACCTTGGCTCCGCCGGCAATAGGTACGGCGAAACCAGAGCGGACCCGGAACGTCGATCATTCGATCGAGTGATTCTTTCCCGGTCTTTGACTGTCTTTGACTGATCGAGTTCTCCACCCGCCACCACCGGGATACGAGCTTGTAATGATCGATGTCCGTGCTGAAGCTTGGCACACCTCTCCCTTTCCGTTATTGATCGCTCGATACCGAAGCCGACATGTGCTGCTCGCTTTAGTTCCTCGGGCCGTTCTTATTAATTAGCAAACTACGCTGCATTCGGTGGATAAATATGCATTTGACATTGTAAGATCCGAGTGAGTAAATTGCTTTGGTTAGTGGGAAGTCGTAGCGCGATTGTCCGTTACGCGGATGAAATTGCAGGGCAATTAATAGCATCGACAGGTTGTCGCGATCATAGGGCACTGGGAGTTCCAACGTTTTGACGACAACCGCATGAAGTATCAATGTCACTTAGATTAAAGCGTAGAATCGTTGGGATTACGGTGGAACCTGCGACGCCAAGTCTCGTAATCGAAAGCGTGACGACGCCAGTAAGTTTTTAATAAGGTGAACCGGGGAAGCGGAGGGACGTTGGACGTTCTCATGTGCGTGCGTGCACGGCATTGGTTACGAGCTCTTGCAATGGTTTATCTCTCTGATTTTGTTGATTATTTTTTGTTTTATTTTGTCACTCGCGCCACCTCGTCGATAAATTCTAGTGTTCGAGTACTTTGAATTTACCGAGGAAGCAATAGGCGTTGGGAGTCGCGAGAGAATCGCAAC